ATCGAGACAAAGGATAGCCTAATTTACCATCACAAAAATATCAGTCTGAGAGGGGAAGACCTTCCCAGTTTCTGGCCAGAACAGAAAACAGTTGCTATTGACACACTTCTAAGCCATTGAAACTTAAACAATAAGCCATAGAGGCTTGGACTGGGAGTTATTATTGCTTATTCTAGGAAAGCCAGTGATTTGGGTTCAAAGGTGGAGTCAGGTAGATCCACTGGAAACACAAAAGACTATTCCAGAGAATCATTGGATTTCTTTAAAACCGTTGTTGTTGTTGTTGTTCTTCCTGTTTTTTAATTATTTATTTTTAAAGCCTGTGTTTTTGTTTTTGTTTTTTGAGCTGTATTTCAAGAAATCATAAATGAAAACTGCACAGGATGAAAAATAAATTGTCCCAGCTTTTAGACAGAAATCCAGTCCCCAAGCTCTAAAATGTCTTTACAGAATATAAACAACCAAAAATTATATTCCTGTGGACAGAGCACCGACATGGAAGGATATGGCACCCCAAGTGGAGAGAGGGCCCATATATGGCAAAGGGCTTGTGGTTCTGTGTGGCTGCAAGGGTAGCAGAACAGACATCTCTAGTCTCATTTCCCTCCACTTTTCTCCAAGAGAAACTTATTCCTGCCAGGTCCTTTTTTCGGAGCTAGTTCTGGGGTTCTGCAAGCCCTAAGTTCTTCCAAGGTGAAGTGAACCAAGAAGAATAGTCACCACTCTCTAGTCTTGTGCTCTGGTCTGTGAGTGACCATAAGCCCTCTTCTCCATCCTGACCATGACCAGGGCCGTTGTACCCCACATATAAAGTGTGGACAATAATAGCATCTACCTCCAAATAAAATAAATAAGTAAAAGTCAAATAAATTTTTTGTGGCTGTTGGATCTTTGCTTGAAGATGTCCACAGCAGGGAGCCCACCACTGCTTTTAGTATCTTTAAACAAGTATTTATCTCAAACTAAAAGCAAGCATTATCTGTAATGGGCTTACAAGCTAGAAGCTTTTCCAGTGAAATCAGATATAATGGAAAGCAAGGATGTCCATTATCATCGTTACTATTCAGTATTGTACTAGAAATGCTAGCTATAGCAATAAGACAGAAGAAATTGAAGGAATCAGTATAGTCCATGAGAGACCAAAACTATCACTTTTTACAGATGGTATGATGATTCACTGAGAAAACTCTATATTCAACTAAAAAACTAATGCAAACAATTAACATCTTCAGCCAGTGATATTATTACCTAAATTAGTTTACTTATTGACACTACCAAAGCACTCCTTTATAGAGCTAGAAAAAAAAAAAACAAAATTCATCCGGATGTACAAAAGGTCAAGAACATCAAGGGAATCGATAGAAAAAAAGATGATAAAAGAGGAGCCCTTGCAGTGCTTTTTCTCAAACTTTACTACAAAGCTGTAATCATCAAACAGTTTGGTGCTAAATAAAGAGATAGAGAGACTGGTCGGCGGAATAGATTTATGTACATTATATACTGAAGCAAATGAGCACAGTCACCTACTGTTTGATAAATCCAAAGATCCTAGCTATTGGAGCAAGAACCCACTATTTGACAAAAACGATTGGGAAAACTGGAAAGTAGTTTTGGTGAAACTAGATATAGACAAGTAACTCCTGTTGTTTGCCAAAATAAGCTCAAAGTGTATGTGATTTTGACGTAAAGAGTGATATCATGGGGCAGCTAGGTGGCGCAGTGGATAGAGCACCGGCCCTAAAGTCAGGAGGACCTGAGTTCAAAACTGACCTCAGACCAAACATTTGGCACTTACTAGCTGTGTGACCCTGGGCAAGTCACTTAATGCCAATTGCCTTTTAAAAAAAAAAGGAAAAGAGTGATATCATAAGTAAATTAGTGGAGCATGGAAGAAATTACTTGTTAGGTAATGGAGAGGGGAAGATTTCATGAAGAAACAAGGGAAAGAGTGTTACAGTAAATAAAATGAATAGTTTTGTGTACATAAAATTAAAGTTTTTGCATGTGCAGAACCAGTATAACTAAAATTAGAAGAAGGCAGAAAACTAGGAAACTAGTCACATTTATAAGAATAGAAGCCATTCCCCCATTGATAAAGCATATGATTAGGCAGTTTCCAGAGGAAGAAATTGAAATCATCAATAGCCATATTTTTAAAAAATGCTCCAAGTTACTGATGATTAGAGAAATGCAAAGTAAGACAACTCTGAGGAACTACCTCATACTCATTATTTTAGCTAAGATGACATAAAAAAGAAGAATGACCAGTGCCGGAGGAGATGTGGGAAAAGAGGTATACTAATTTATCACTGGAGCTTTGAACGTTCTGGAAAGCAATTTGGAACCATCCCCAAAGGCTGTTAAGTTGTACTTAACTTTTGACCCAACAATACCATTACAAGGTCTATACCCCAGAGAGCAAAGAAAGAGGAAAAGGACCAGTATGTACAAAAATGTTTATAGTAGCTAATTTTCTATGATAGAAAAGAATTTGAAATTGAGGGGGTGCCCATCAGTTGAGGAATGGCTGTCAAGTTGTGGTATATGATTGTGATGAAAGACAAATGTACTATAAGAAATTATGAAGGACAATGGAAGACTGGCATCAACTGATGCAAAACGAAATGGGCAGAACTAGGAGAGCATTGTGTACAATAACAGCAATATTGTAAAGATAATCAACATGAAAGACTTAGTCATTCTGATCAATGCAATGACCTGCCATGATTCAGTGGATTCATGATATAAAATACTCTCCATCTTCAGGGAGAGAACTAATGGACTCAGAGTACAGATGGAAGCACATTTTTTTTTCACTTTCTTTTTTCTTGCCTTTTAAAAAAATATGGCTAATACTGGTCATTTGTTTCACAAGACTATAAAAAAAGGACAAAACATTTGTTATGAGTAAGATGGTACCCAAACTGCAAGCACATTTTTTTTCACTTTCTTTTTTCTTGCCTTTTAAAAAAATATGGCTAATACTGGTCATTTGTTTCACAAGACTATAAAAAAAGGACAAAACATTTGTTATGAGTAAGATGGTACCCAAACTGCAAGCACATTTTTTTTCACTTTCTTTTTTCTTGCCTTTTAAAAAAATATGGCTAATACTAGTCATTTGTTTCACAAGACTTATAAAAAAAGGACAAAACATTTGTTATGAGTAAGATGGTACCCAAAACTGCAGTATCAGAGCTGAGAAAAATGTAATTTTTCTTCATGAAGATTAGACTTTTATTCATAGCTATACCAAAAAAATTTTTTTATGTAACACTTTGTACATTATCTTATTTTATTTGAATCTTATAGGAATCCTTTGAGGTGGGCAGTATAGGTATTCCTGTTTTACAGGGAAGTAATTTAAGTCTCAGAAAGGTCATGTGACTAGGTTGTGTGATAGTCATAAAGCTATTATCAGGAGTGAAACGTTAACCTGTGTCTCTTCTGCCTCTCAACAGTAGGAATCTTTCCACTATACTGTGCTGTCAAACCCAAACCAAAAAGAAGAAAACAAAGGCTAAAAATGACTTTCTCACTCATTCATACAATGCTTATTTTTTCCTTCATACCTTTACTTATGCAGTATCCTCTACTTAGAATTCTTTTACATTCATCCATCCATCCAGACTCAGTGTAAGGAAATTATTGTCAGAAGGATTCCAAATGATGTCATAAGATCTGGCAAACTGAAAACAAACTGTAAAACATCCACTCAGAAATGTTTTGTGGATGTTTTACTTGTAGTTGACCTGGAATTCTTGAACTCTGATGAAGTAGAAGTAGAATTGGTCTAGAACTAGAGAAATTCCCACGTGGAGGTAGAATACTCTGACATGACCTTGTATGATGATGCCACACCTAATGAAAAGTTAAACAGTTTACCCAAGAAATGCATATAGATGTGCTTCAATATCTTGAGAAATCCTCTTTTAGCTCTCACTGGAAACATTTGGGTTTTAATTGAGGCTAGAGTTGGGAAGATGGTATACTCAGTGTCCAATAGTTTCATGATAAAAAATGAAAGTGTATGTGTAGAAAATTTGTGAACTCAGTGCTAAATGAATGATTGACAAAAAAGGATATGGTGCATGTTCAAAGTAATTTTTGCAGATATGAAAAGTTGTAATTTTATTTGATTGGCTGATATATTGTATGGTTTTATAGTTCCTCTTTTATCACTAGAGAATGAATTATAATTAGCATATTAAAACATCTGGGTAGCCTTTGTTAGTCTCTGTTTATTTTGCAGTTAAATTGTTGGTAAAAAAAGTTTTCTCTTAATGTTGATAAATATTTCTCTTAAAAATTTTAAATTGTAGAATGAGCCCCCAACCCTCTGGTTCCTTGTAATTTGATAGTACCTTTAAGAACCGTTGTTAGTAATGTTATTACTAGACACCAAGTCAGCTGGGCATTTAAAACCCCGACGTAGCTACCTTTCAGTACTTATTTAATAACATCCTACTCTTTATTCATTCTATGCTCTTAATTTCCCACCCTTAATCTGTTCTCCTGTATCCCTCCATTCATGGTTAAACTCAGAAAAAAAATTGTCTTGAATCCTTGCTTCTACTTCTCCCTTCTCAGCCCTTTGCAGTCTGCCTTCTAAGCCTCATCATTCAAGTTACTCTTCACTCTTCAAAGTTACAGGCAACCTTTTATTGGCCAAACCTGATGGCCATTTATTTCTTAAGCCTCAGACTTCTTTACTTGTACAGATGCAGTATTTGACACTGAGGACCCTTACCCCGTAGATATTCTTTGATTTTGGGGTTGTCTTGACATTTTCCACTCCTTAAATTCTGGTTCCTGCCTGTTTAATTTGATTTGAGCAACTTTCATCTCCTCTTGATCCCCATGATCCACGTCAGGGGAAGGAAGGGATGATGCTGCCATGATTTAAGTTGATCCTTAGTTATTTCCAGTAGAGTGATCTGGCATTTTTGGAAAGAAATTGTACAGTATTTAATTTTAATTTTTTGAATTTTATTTCTCAGGTGCCAAGCTCCCTGTTATCTGGGCTTGTTCCTGCTTTCAACAGATCCTGAGTAAAGGTACAGCCTAGCACAGGGAATGGGTAAAGGATAGAGCTAAAGGCCTTAGCATAATATTTTTACCTGAAGGTGGGAGTATTTTAAAGCTCCAACAGGGGAGTATTTGATAGGTAATTGGAAAGATGGACAAGAAGCATTTCTTCCCTATAGTCTTTTCTCAGTGAATCATTTGAAGTTTTCAATAGTCAGCTTAAAAGAAAATTGAATTTTTGTGACTTCAAACATGCTTTTGAGTATTGTGATTGATCTGACTTAGTTTCTTACTGATACTTGCAAATTTGTGCTAGTTGCATAAATTGTTTTTAAATGATCAGCTTTAGAAGATGGTAAAGTGAATTAATGATGTCTCAGTTTTGATTTTTAAACAGTCAAATCAGTAAGTAAAAGCCTATTAGTAAAATAGGTAAAGATTCCTGGAAAATAGATAATAGTAAATATCCCTATTCATTCACTCATTTATTTATAATTTTAAAAATTCTGAATTTGTAAACATAAAAAAAGAACATTTCCTTTTATAAAATAGAACGAAAAGAGCAGTGAATATGAAATCACATCTCTTTTCCACACAGCTTGCTTTAGAAAATATATACACACACATACATATATAAAATTTAGCCTGTAACTTTCTACTTGTATTTTTCATTCTGAGCTTCTCTTTTTATGAACATTTAAAAAAAAAAGTTCAATGACTTTGTTTTTGGCCTCAGGATTTTCTAGTCCCACTCTCTTTCCCTACTCTTAATCCTCATTGGGGTAAAAACACAACTCTTGTAATGAATAAGCATAATCAAGGAAATCATGCACACATTGGCCATGTCTGACAATGCTTGTGTCTTATTCAGCACCATCAGTCCATCACTTCTATCTCAGGATAGAAGTACATCTAGTAGTACACTTCATCGTTCCATTGTAGTCCTGGTCAGTTGCAGTGATTAGGACTCTTAAGTCATTCAGAATTGTTTCTCTTTATAAAAATGATGCTGTTTTCTAAATAGCTGCAAAGATTTTTTTTTCTGAGTTAACTGTTACATTTTAGCTGTATTAAGTTTGTGCAGAAGCATTTCAATTTCATGTGATCAAAATTGCCCATTTTATCTCTTGGTATCAATTTTTCTCTATAGCTTCTTTGATCAAGAAGTCTTCCGCAATCCATACTTGTGAAAGGGATCTCCCTGTTCCTCTGATTTTTTTTTTTATGATATGACCTTTTATATCTGGGTCATGTATCCATTTAGAGCTCTTTTTGGCATATGATGTGTGATATCGGTCTAAATGTCATTTCTCCAGACTGTTTTACAGTTTTCCCAGGAGATTTTGTTGAAATGGGAAGGGGAGAATCCTCATTCCCTGGGTGCTATCTCATTCATTAGAATATCAGTTCCTTGAGAGTAGGCACTGTCTTAACTTTTCAGATGGATCCTCAGTGCTTTGTACATACTAAGTGCTTAATGTGTGCTTTTTTTTTCTGTTCATTTCATCTTTGGCCAGTTTCTTGCCTTGGGGAAGGGGAAATGCCAAGACCTGAGTCCTGTGAAAGGACTCCACCCTAAGGTTAGAAGTCCAGGGACTGTGGTGCCATTATTGATAACCTACCTGAACTCATTCCTGAGAGATTAACCAGCTCCCATCTGGTCACACTTGCTCATCCTAGTGATTCCGTGCCCTCTTTGATGAGCAGTCAGATCTTGTTCTCCAGGATCACTTACTGCCTGCTGCCTCATTCCCGTGCCCCTCAACCTAACACATTATTCCCTGCCCCCCAGTGCCCCATACTAAAGCTGCCGACCCCTTCCATTGTGCTCTCTGGAATACCTGCTTCATAGGTAATGAACTTGATTTCGTTTTAATCATTTCCTTTCTCCCTCCCTCTCTCCCTCCATCTTCTGGTCCTTTCTAAGACTTGGCCACCCTTTCCAACTCTGGTTGCCCTTTTACCCCTTCCCTTCAACTCACTGCTCAGGGATAGGGAAGATTCCTTCTTGCTCCCTGTTGCCACTGCTAGTCTCGTAGTATACCTCCATCACTCGGTAACCTCTCCTCCTTTGAAGGTCACTCAACCTGTATCTACTAGCCAATCAATATTGTCTTTTCCACTGCCTCCTACCTTCGGGACACACCCTTTCTTTCCTCAGTGAGTTCAGTGCCAAGCTGCTGAGCAGAGCTGGAGGAAATCATGAACCTGTGCTGGCTGGGTCCACTAGAAGTTTATGGTATCTAACCTTGACTGGGCTCTCATCGTCTAAGGCTATATTGTGGGCTCAGAGACATAAAGATGGGACCTCAGAAACTATCTATTCCAATCCCCTTATTTTATAGTTGAGGAAACTGAGGCCTAAAGTTGTGAAATGAATTGTCCAAGGTTGTACAGGTAGTAAGTGGCAGAGACAGTTCCTCTGACTCAAGATCAAGATTGTAACTATCACTCAGTCATGTTACTTGCCTATATTCGGTCATAAATTTATTATTAAAGGCACATTAGAAACTAAGATTGATGTCTCTATGGTGCCAAAAGGAGCTAGCTCTATTTACAATCCATTAGATACTAAGGAAGGTTAATTTTGTGAAAAGTTTAAGATTGGGGGGTAGCTAGGTGGTGCAGTGGATAAAGTACTGGTCCGGGAGTCAGGAGGACCTGAGTTCAAATGCGGCCTCAGACACATAACACGTAATAGCTGTGTGACCTTGGGCAAGTCACTTAACCCCATTGCCTAACAAAAGCTAAAAAAAAAAAAAGAAAAAGATTGATTGAAACTTCATAACTTTTCCTTTATTTGTTATTTTTTTTAATCTCTGTTGTCTGGGATTGGTGGCTACAAAAACTCAGAAAACATCAAAAGGATACTGTACTTACTTCACAAGAAGGGTGGTGGAGGTAAGAGAAATGGAGAAGTACTGTTTGGATTTTGCAGATAGACTGCTGTTGATTTGCTTTGGTACAGGGAGTTTCCTGTATTGATGAAATCACATGTCTGTTCCAAAATAAAAAGATATAGTCACTGGAGGTAGGGTTGGGGAGAGCACTAACAACTGGGGTGATCAGGATTGAGTTCCTATAGGACCATTGTTTTTTGATTGCATACTAGTAAATTTTGAGCATGTACCCCATTATTATTTTGATTTAATTATTTTCATTCGATAAAAATCCTCATTCTTTCCTTTCTTCCTCCCTTCTCACACATTGAAAAAGAAAGCAAAACGTAATTCTTGTCAAATAAAGCAGATTCCCAGATTGGCCGTGTCCAAAATATGTCTGCCTCTGCACTGGGAACCCCATCACCTCTCTCTCAAGATAGAATCTCTAGAATCATCTCCAGAATCAGCCAGTCAAGGTTGGTTATGTTTACATTATGTGTCATAAAAGTTATACAAAAGTAGAGACAGAAGGATGTAAAAAGATGAAATATTTGATCCTAGAGTCAAAAGAGAGCCCTTGGAGTTTATCGAGTAGAGGCGTGTGTCCGTGCCTGCACTTTAGGAAAGTCACTCTGCTACCCTTGTGGAAGATAGTTTGGGCAGGGGAGAAACTTGAACAAGGCAGAAAGATAAACCAGCACTCTATTGAGTAGTCTAGGTGAAAGGGCCTTCATCAGCGTAGGGGCAGCATGAGAAGAGAGAAGTAACACGTGTGAATGATCCTGTGGAAGTAGAAATGATACACTTGGCAAATGATTGGTTATATGGGGTGAAAAATGGTGTTGGCTTGTGGTTTCCTTGGTGCCTGGAAAGTTGATGGTGTCCTTGACACTAATATCAGGAGGTTTGGAAGAAAGATAATGTAGTGAGATTTGTGATGCAGAGCACAGTCCCAACCATGCTTGCTTATTCTTTTTGCCTCTTTCTTTCCAACTCAGAACCAAAGCAGGGTGGGTCTTATAGAACGGGTAACTGGTAATGGAACCTGACCCTGGGGATTTGAGGCACCTGTCGTATCCATAAGGTGATGGAGGAGATTTAGGGAGTAGGGCATGTTGGGGTAGAGGGAAGAATTTTCCCAGTATCCCTCATGTAGCTGTTGTGGGTGACCAGATAGTGGTTAGGTTATACCTGCCCAGTGGAGGCAGTCACAGAAAGTGAAAGGTTTGGAGCTTGCACAGGGAAAGGAAGGAGTTGGGTTGGGGGAGTGTTGGTGGATAAAGGTGGTTTTGTGGCAGTTTTGGAGACAAGCCCTGTGACTGGTTATTGTTTGGTGGTTCATACACCCCTTGGGATCAGGCCCCCTCTTACAGGCACTGTTCATCCTATCTCCCACTGGCTACCCTTGTCTCTACTGTCTTTGATCTTCCAAGGCCTGGTTCTTTGCTTGTTTGATACAGATTTGCTCATGTCTCCTCCATACTTAAAAAACCCTCACTTATTCCTGCCTTCCCCTTTAGGTAATAGCCTCATTTCTTCTACTTCTTTCCTCTTGTTCTTTTTTGATTTCTTTTACTAGCTCATTATCATTTACCAGCCTCATTATCCAGTGGAAACTCCTCACTCCAAAGTTCCCATGATCTTGTAATTGCAAGATCTAGTGGCCTTTTCTTGAAAGTCCTCATTCTGCCTTTGACATTGTTAATTATCCTCTTGTAGATACTCTCTTCTGAGTTTTTGTGAAGCTTCTGTCTTCTTGGATCTCCTCCTACTTAGCTCCCCATTTTTCTGTCCTCTTTGTTGGATCTGTCAGTGTCCACGGCATACTCAGCAGTTGATGGTGAGTGTTCCTAATGCTCTTTCCTGAGACAACTCTTCTCTTTTTTATATTTTCTTACTTATATTTTCTGACCCGAAGCAAAGAAAACAAACTTATTTCCTTTAGCTGCCGCCTGTCAGCTGCTGTATTCCTGACCAATTTGGTGTGTGGCCTATAACAGATACTTAATAAAGGCTTATTGATTACTGATTGAGTGATTGGACTAGGACTTAAAAGAGGAAGAAAAGGAGGAAGGAGGCGGCTTCCGAGCGATTGCAGGAAAGTACCTGATTATAATCATTATTGGCGATCATCCATTCTCTCTCTCTCTCACCCAGGTAGCTCAGATTGGATTTCTTTTAATTGTATACTATACTTTGAGATTCTCATTTTGTATTAATTTTGATCTTGGTTATAACAGTCAGTAATCTGACTTTACAAAGTGAATTGCTTTGGAAATTGCTCCCACATCAGGAATGAGTCATTTTCTCTTTTTTAAAAATGTAATTGGTTTTATTGTTTGGTGCTTACCTTGTTCAGTGCCCTCTGACTCTTTTGGAAGAAAATATTGTAATTTATGTGTGTGAGACTTCTGTGTAGTCTACCATGTGACTTGTTTCTTCTGAGCCATAACTTCCCACATTTCATGTTGTCCTTCCTTATGCTTACTTTTGCTTGGAAGTTACTGAGTATTAAATATTTTAATGTTTAGTTTATAAGGTCTTACCAAGTGTTTCTGGTGCTTTTTCTTTACTTCCCAAGCCTGTGCTACCAATATTGACATAAAAGTTGCAGTTTTTTTCCTTGGAGTCTTTTTTTTTTCTTTTTGCAAATATTTATCAGAAACGTTATGCTATGGGATAACCAACTGTCCTGTGAAATGATGTTTCCTGTTGCCTTTATATTATGATAAAAACCAATGCTGCCCCTTCCTAGTCAGGAGAGCATAAGAGTCATTCCATTAAGCTACACCGTTTTGTTTCCGGTTTCCTTTGTAGGACTAGAGTCAAGTCTGATACAATTCGTGCCCTCCAGTATTTTCAAAGATCCCACATTTTAGAATACCAAGAGCTTGGTTAGTTGTTATAGGTGATCAGAAATGTGTGGGATTCTTAATACCCTCAGTCTCCTTTTCTGACATTGTCATAGCAGAAATAGAAGAGGGACTTCCTCAGAGAAGGCCAAGAGCCATTTTGTATTTCACATTGAATGGTGTACTTGCTCGGTATATAGCAGACGTTTAATAAATACTTGTTGATCAGCTCCTTACAATTAAGAGAGCTGTCTACCTACTGACAAGTTAAGTGGCTTGCCTAGGGCCATGCAGTCAGCCTGTGTCAGAGGAAGGGCTTGAACCCACGACTTCTGGATTCTAGTAGACTTCTCTCCAGCTCCTCAGTGCCCTGCCATAGATCTAAGAGCCATTGGCAATGGCTTAGAGTGCTAGGAGTCTGTGGAGTACCTCTTTTAGACTACAGTTTCCTTGGTGTAAAATGAAAGGATTTGACTTGACCACCTCTAAGAGCCCCTCAAGCTCTGTGATTCTTTGACATCATTGCTGTACCATAGATATATCATAGATTAAGGAGCTGTTTATGCTTTGGTCTGGGAACCTGACTGCCATTGATATTAACATTTTTGTGGGACAAACAGATTCCGAGTTCTGAACAACAATTTAATTTAGGTATGAACCGTTAGGTGTGCTTGAATTTTAATGGTGTTTGCTATTTTGTCATAAAAAGAGATTGAAAATCTGAGTCATTGTGCTGATCAGAAGATGGGTGGCAGCAGCCCTTGCCTGCCCTAATGCAGAGGTTTTTTACCCTTTTTTGTATTGTGGACCCTTGTGGCAGTCTGAGGCCTGTGAATCCATCTCAGAATAAGTGCATAAAATCAAATACATACAATTACAAAAGAAACTAATTACACTGAAATAAAGTTATTGAAATATTAAACAAGTTCGTGGATCCAAGGTTATGAATCCCTGCTTATAGGTTTCTACCTTTTTGAAAATATTAGTAGGTTCCTAGTTCTCTAACTAAAAAAAAAAAACTTGAGGTTGTTCTCAACTCTGTAACTAACTTTATGGTGATGGTCTTTTTTTTCTAGGTATATCACATTAAAAAAATCTCCCGTAAAAATTTTGAAAAGAATGGCAGCAGAAACTCAGACACTTAACTTTGGGCCTGAATGGTGAGTTTCTCTTTTTTTTATTTCATTAAACATTGAGTGATCTTGGGAAACCTAACATCTGTCTCTCAGGGGACTATTACAACTACTACTAATACTATGATATTTGCATATCATATATAGAAGAAGTTTGTGAGCAGCACAGTATTTGTAAGGCACCTGGAAAAATCTGTGGAATTCAAAGTATTTTTATTTTTGCATATGGGTCTTAGGCTTTTGACTTAGATGAAGAATTAACATACTTTTATAAAACCTAAGAACATCTCATAACTGATTATCTGTTCTGTTGGGGGAGAGCCCTGCTGTAGAAGATCTCAGAGGTTGATTAATAACAAGATTTCTTTTTGACCATTGAGTGCATATAATTTATTTTTAGAGTAATTATATTTTCATGGACGTTATTCTGAAACTGTTAAGTGGTTTGCATTTCCTAAATGGGCAAGAAGCTTAGAAACACACTGGATTAATTTAATTTAAATTTTTTTTAAAGTTACTACTAGTGATCCATACTTAACTTTCAAGTTGACTTCATAGTTGCTTATATTCACCTTTATCATAAGACTTGAATTTATTATAATATATTGTGGTTAGTTTTTTCCTTCTATAAATTTGATCATTATGTCCTTTCTATTGTGGTTTGAATAATAATCCATTGCTCTTTCAGTCCTTGATCCAGCTCCTTTTGTGGTACCAGGTGCTGTGATTTTGTTTTTTAAATATAAGCACGTGTGTGGTAGGGGTTTTATATTGTCCATATTTGAGAGGCAAGATGATGTAATGGATAAAAGATGGACCTAGGAATGGAGAAGACCTGTATTTTGTCTCTACATGAAATCCTGTCAGGTAAAAAAAAAATCATCTTCTTAGATGGTATTCTGATGGGATCAGTAGGGGTAATCTTCACTTTTGCAAATCCTGGTTTTTCTTCCTTTTTAATCCTTTCTTAAAAGTATAATATTTAGTTTTGTTTTTAAAATTTATTAATAGTTACATTGTCAAAAG